CGATGCGGCAAAGGTCCAAGGAAAAGCAATTCCGCTGATCGTCAGCCTCCAGCTTTCTTGTTTGAGCCAAATTCAATCGAGCAACCAGTCGTCATTGCGTCGCCCTTGGAGCGAAGTGGTGTGCGTTCCGCATCTCCAGGAACTTTCTCCGTGTTTGTTCTCGTTGCTAAGATCAACCAGGTGTCCCCGGGGGCGCGCCGAAAAAACATAACGGGAGGCATGTGTCGCGATGCAGATCACCCGGCCAAATGCATGTCGGGGATCATTCCGTGGCTGTGCCGCAAGCCAGGCGGCCAGCCACTGTGTCAGTTGAACGGCGCGTTGCAGGTACATTTCCCACCTGTTAATCTCTCGAATGAGCCGGTGCATCTCGATCATGCTGTCAGCCTTCTAATGCGCGCGATGAAAGATTGTGTACGACCAATTCGTCGCATCTCCTGTCTGATCAGCGGCGAGAAGGTGATCTGGAAGGGGTTGAATAAAGAATGCGCATGCGAGAATGCGGAGTGCATACGGGACGCCGCTAACCGCAGCCGCATCATTGGGTTTCGGAAAACGCCACCGAATTGAACGCGCGGCTTTACGTCATAAGCGAGAACCTCACATCATGCAACTCAGCTGCGATGCTGAACTCTAACAATAGAACACGATCGAATCAGCAGCCACAGAAACAGGCGTTGTCAAGAAACCTAGAGCCGGTATGCCATGGTAATGAATGGAAGAGATGTCACGACGACGAGTAGCAGAGCATGAAAGAGACAGTGCGGCAAGATAGTAGTTTTGGGGTATTGTGAATGTTTCATTGAAATGACTTATTATAAGTATGCCGATTGGTAAATCCCAAGTGTCGCTGTGAATCATTCTGGTCCCACACCTGTCTCACGAGAGACGAAGCGATGTCAGCTCATGGCTGATGTCGCTAACCGATCGAAGAAACTGTCAAAGGAGACGTTTTATGACGATGTTGGAAGGAAGCGGTTCAGTGTCGACCCGCTTACAAGAGACCGGCAAGAGCAAGGAGACCACCAGCAACAGCGCCCATGGCGGGGACGTTGTTGGAGTCGGCGGCACCGGTGCCGGTGGCGCTCTCGGCAGCGCTGGCGGCAGAGCTGGCAGCAGATCCGAGCGACTGGGTGATAGAGGAGATCTCGCTGGCAGCAGAGCCAGTAGCACTTGCGGCTTCGGAGGCGATGCTGCTGATGGCAGAGTCGGCAGCGCTCTGGATGGAAGAAGCACCGGAGGCAGCGGCAGAGCCGCCCGCGCTGGTGATGGAGGCAGCAGCGGAAGTGATCTCAGAGCCGACGGATGAGGCGACGGAGGCGAGGTCAGAAGGGACGCCGCCTACAGCAGAGGTGATCTGGGAGATGATGGAGTCGACCTGGGCGTTGGCAACGCCGGCGGCGATGACAGCGGTGGCAATGGTGGAGAAACGCATGTTGATGGTTTGGGTGGGTGAATTGGTTGGGTGAGTGGGTAAAGAGTTGAGTGTAGTTGGTTTGATGTGGAGATTGTTTGAGCTGTAGATGGGGAGTAGAAGGCAGGGCGAGAGGAGAGCTCTTATACCAGGTGACTGCATAAGAACTAGCGCGCTTGCATGTCGCCATAGCCCCAGCGGCCAGCAACAAACACAGCGGCCACCGCCCTTGCTCGCTTGCGCCTCCTCCACATTTTTTTAGCCACGTAATGCACGCAATTAACTGGACAGTGAGGCAAGTGACGCCACATGGGAGCGCACTGTCCTTGTCCTTGCCCAGATGCGGCAAGCCATCACAGCCCATCCCAGTCATCGGCAGCCGTTCCTGCTTTTTCGAGTGAAGCTTGATCCGGGGCCGCCTCTGGCTGTTTGAGCCTATGACGTCTGTTGACGAACATTTGTCCGCGGTGTAACGAGATTAACTGGGGCGAGAGGCGTTGCATCCAAGCCACAGCCTGCGACGCCCCGTCTCATCGACAGCGGAGCCATGCATGTCTCTGCAGCTGCCCATGGGACGATTCGGGCTATGGCAAGGCGTGCCAGTGCTATTTCCAGCGTTACAGTGATCAATTCACTCTGAAACAAGTCAGCACTTGTCGTCTGGCCAAGCTTTCTTACTGCTACCGCGACGCGAGTGCGGCGTCGAGCTTGATGACCCTGAAATGCAGGTGCTCACCGGCGTGCGACCAGCGACCGCTATAGCGACCAGCACCACGCTTCCTCTAGCTCGACATCTGCGTACCGCGACGCTGCTGCCAACTCCCATCTCCCAGCAACTGCACCAAGGTAAGTGTATACGGGGGTCCACTTGCTGTCAAGGCAACCAGCCACGCGTTGTTTGGGGGCCCGGAGTTCGGTGCATGTTCTGTGTACCAAGAAGATGATGAGACGTGCATGTCGTCATTCCCGGCTTCGTCGTGGACGCCGAGGCAAGCAGTTTCTGAGACGCAAACCGCTCCACCGAAACCGGGCGAACGTCAATAAGGAGGCCGAGCTCGAAACCATGACGAAGAGCAATCTTGGGTGAATTGTGGCTCGACAGACGTTAGCTGGCGACGTTGACCAAGATTGGTGGTGTACCTGGCAGCCTTACTCGGGTCCCCTGTCGCGGATGCCGCCAAGCCCGATTTTGCCGTGATTCTAGCCCACAGGATTCTCTCCCGTGCCATGGCATTCTGCACCAACATCTTGATCTCTGATCGTCCTCTCCTATTCCCGACGCGCGTTCTTGATGTCACTCTTGTTCCTTCATCGTGATGCAAGTCTCAGTCATGTCCCGAGTCGACTCACTCTGCAATTTCCCATCATATGGTGACATCTCTGCCGCCCTTTGCATCATGACTAAAAGCATTTTCTTGGCCCCCACGAGGCTTGCTTCTTCAAATTAGAAATGCCTTAGCAGGTTGCATGCCACGAGATTGTGCATCCGGGGAACACGTGGAGCTCTCTTGGATGGAGATGCTCTACTGCTATACGGGGCACATGTTAATGCACATACACTTGCTTTATTCCTACAGGCCCGGTTGATCTGAAGTGTTGCAGCCGCTAAGCTGACAGCTGCCGCAGTATTCGTGAGAATGCTAGGCCGACCGACCTACAGGTGTCATATAGTCGTCAAGCTTACTATGTAGACGTGCTGCCGGCGAATGGGAAGGATATGCGCATCTCGGCTTAGCGCACGGCGTTCCTATTCGACGGCTTTACCACGCGAGCAATATTTCCGGCTGCCGGCTGGACTTCACCTATGTGATCACACCACCACACCACGCGCACCATACTACGTCGATTTCCGTCTTTGCTCAATCACTCTGATCTGCCCGTCAAGACATTCAACTACAGAATCGCTACATTGCTGTTCCTCCAGGCCTGAAGTGCCTGACAGTGCTGATGGCGTCCTAATAGCCGCTGAGGCTGGACACCAACAGCACGTGTGACAGCGCATCACAATGACATCGAATGGGGATTGCGCATTTCGTCTCAAGCGCCCTTGGGAACAGGAGAGGCTCACATCTCGTCTTTGATGGGTGCTCTTCTCGCTCGTCCCTACCCTTTTCGTCTAATCGCGACTGCATTGGGATGCCTGCACGACGCCTCTCGATTGTATCTTTAGAACACTTTCGATCCCTCTGTTTTCTTAGAGTGTGTGCAACTACAGTGATGGACCGCTGCGACCTCCTCTGGAATAATTACTGAGTAGTGAGTGCGATAGCTCGCACGCGCGCACACTCGACTACATCTGCTGTATTTCCTCTTCAAAATCAAAAGTTCATGTGGCTTCTACCGAGTCACATTCGACGTCCACATGTAGGCTACGAATGCTGTGATCATCTGAGATCCACTAGGAGGCGCTTAGTTGCATATGACAAGAACTTAGTGCTCAGCCTTCCCAATAGAGAAGTGAGAGAACCATACCTGCTCATTGTTTGCAAAAGCTGGGTGAGGCTATCTAGGTAATTCTTTCAATGACCCCATTCTGTGTACCTTTACTGCGACTGCCAGAATTAGTACAAACACCGCAGGCATCACTATCACAGCAATCATTACGACCACAGCCGTCTACACACCTTCACCAAGCCTTGACAACGCTCAAATATCGTCAACATCATCGGCAATGTACCATTCGGGAAACGATCGCTCGCTCTCTACACCGGCTGCCATCGGAATCGGCATCGCTATTGGCATCGTCTGCACCGTACTTGTCCTTGTTACAGTACTGTTACTACACCGCGCATGGAGACTCCGCCGTTCACCACCAGTAAAGCAGTACAGGCAAGCCAAGTTGTGGAAGGGTTTCGAGCCAGTAACACCGAGCACCGCGAGGACTACGTTCGTTGGAACCAAGATGACCAACATATACTTAACGGAGCTACCAACACCGGTCACACCTGCCTTCCTTATGAGCCCACCGTTGCGGGGAGAGGAAGTAGACGTGGAAGAGAGAATTAGACGCTATAGCGAACCTGCATAGTCATGCTGTATACGACGGATGCCTTGTATGCGGCTTCCAGTCAAGCTGGCGCAACACATAAGACAGGGCTATAGCCATGATGGGAGTCTAGGCACGAACTCTACCACGTCTCTCGCTGATCGCGACCAGCAGATCCCAACTCTGCTCACGACCACGAACAAGAACAACCTGCGCCTTCTACTCGTCGCTGCCTGTAAATGTATAGGATCTTGCAACTGGCTCGTTGAGATCCTGCGCAGTCTTCCCGGCTTCGGTGTCGCCAACTCCCGTCGCGTCTCTGAGATCGTTCCCACGCTCTTTCCCCTCAGCGCAAGCACTCTGGACTTCCTGTTTCAAAGCCTCGCCGGCGAGGTGCGCAAGGTGGTCATTGAAATGTTTACGCGTATCAAAAAGTACAGCACCAGCAGCATCACTGCCTTGCTGCAAGCTCGCATGTGTAGGTTAGACATGATGATCTCGCGAAACCTCCCCCGCCGCGACCGTCGCCAGCCACCTCAGAAGAAAGCACAGTCGGCTCCTCGTGCAAGTCTGGCGGGAGTTTCAGTCGGAATATTCAGCATGATTCTACGCCACCTTGGGTGCTGCGACACTCGCTCACTCCGGCAGACGTGCAACAAGGAGCTCGTGGGCAGATGCAAAGACAGCTTCTACAACATTGTCGATCCGACCACCGCTTTCCTCCAGGTGAGTCCCAGATGAGTCTCAGATGAGTCTCAGATGAGGGAGACACAAGCACATGCTGACTCCGTTTCCGTAGCTTGACGCCGACTTTCCTGCGCGCGCAGTATCACTTGCAAACTTTGAGCGGTGGAGCGATCACATCACCACACTACGCCTCAAGGTCCCGAGAACCGCATTCTTCTACCAGCTGCATCAAGGCGCTGCAGCCGCAGCCGGAGCCGACGGCGATACCTTCTCAGCAATGTCGGGTACGAAAGAGTTCAAGTCTGCGCGCGCGCTATTGACGACCCTTCCTCGATGCAAAGCTGTTCAGATCCAGCACGACACCCCAAGCAGTGGCTGGCTCCTATGCGACTACCAATCCAGTCGACGGGAGGTCCGTGACAAGACCATGGCTGTCCTGGGCGACGTGTTGCGCGAGAACCTGGAGGTATGTTGTATCCGCTGTCTGTACAAGACACGCACTAACACTGAGTAGCATGGTCTTGTCGGCTTCATGCTTTCTTCGCACACGCAATGGTACGAGGAGTACCGCCTATGCTACTTCGAAGAACAAGAGAAGGAGGCAGAGAAGGAGACAGAGGAAGAAGGTCCACGCACAGAGGATGAGGAAGATGGTCGACGCATAGAGATGGAGGGAGATGGCCGACGCACAGAGAAAGAGGAAGAAGACCGGCGCGCAGAGCTGGAGGAAGACGGTCGATGCGCAGAGATTGAGGAAGAAGACCGCGGCCATGAAGAGACAGAAGATGCATACGCAGGCCAGTCCCGAGACATGGTTCGCGATGAGTATCGCACACGTGGACTTCCTCGGCCTATCCCCAAGAAGAAGGCGAACATTGTGGCGGCCCTGCAGAAGGATGATTCGAGGAGATTGGAGTAGATGGTCATGCCCTACTAGGACACGCTACTCATGGCGTTGACGACCTACAACCACTTCCATGCTACACTCGCTCTGATCTGGGTACATGATCTGTTCCATGTGCATCTTACGGCCTTCCGGACACTGGTATGGTCTGATGCGCAGGGTGGTGTGGGCCGCTCCTTCCTCTTCATCGAAGCGAGGTAAACAACAACCCAAACGCGGTAAGCTTCGCGTCTCGCACACTGGGATTTCAGATATGACCTGGGTAGCTCGCTCAATCCCTTCAGTTTGCTCGCGACCAGTACTGCCGCCGTCGAAACGCCGCGGCCGCTCTCAGAACCCTGTCGCCATCAGCATCCCTCTCCCCGCCATCAGAACCTCCTCCCCCACCCCGCCATCACAATGGCATTCGCAGGGAAACGCAACACGCAAGAGCTCAAGAAGCTGGAAAAGACTGATGTCAAGATATCAGAGGCGAGACTCTTCAACGCATACAGTAAGTTCTGGCTGAGCGAAGTGCATGAGACATGTATACTAACTTCATACTACTGCAGCGACCACACAAAACGTGATTGAAGACATAGAGGAGTTGTTGCCTCGCCTCTCCCCTCACCATCCAGAGATTGCCGAGTTGCTTCAGACGGCCAGGGCGGAGCCCGTGACACCCTTCACTATCCATGGGCATTGTGACGACAGCGAGACGAAGACTTGGCCGAAGACCGAACCTGCTATGGATCGCTGGTTTCCGGATGCTGTTGACCAAGCTCCGTACATAGAAGACCCGCCCTCTGGTTAGACCAGCGCGCAGCAAAGCATGTTAAGTCGTGTCAGGTCGCATAGCATAGTTAGCGAATAACCCAGACGCGAACTATGTCGCATCGCATTCTCGCTACCACGTCAATCAAGAAGAAACACTTATCAGCCTGGGGCCTACATCGACTTTGGGTCACACACTTTGCACATTCTCATCTTGATGTAGTCTCCAGACCTGTTCGAATTTTTTCTTGCATGAGATGCTATGCTCCCACATCCAGAGCTAATGGAGAGGTATCGCGCATATGTCACCACATAGGCCCACATCGTTGTCTACAGCGAGAGTTGTGCTTGTCGTTGGTCGCTATCCACAAGCGTTATACGACCAGTACCTCGAGCTCAGCCACATCAACGCGACCGAGGTCAAACTCGGACACGGCATAGGACGGATAGCGTGGCTGAAACGTGATGTTCACGGCAAGCTAAGCCGCATCGTCCTCTACATCAACCACCCGGAGTGCTTCAAGAGGTATCGAGCCCACGTTACCACGAAGGCCCAACATCGGCAAGCCCTCCGAGAGCGCCTTGTGGACCTGACAATGGTCTACTTCAGGCGGCCGGTCTCTCTTCCCGCCTTTCTATCTACCACGCAGACATGGCACCAGCACTCGACTGGACAGCTCGTTCCGCTGCGCGTGTTCGCCGACTTCCTTGACGGTGATGGCGATGAGACAGAGCTGAGGACAGCGCTGACGTGGCCACGAACTCCATCTGGCTTCAAGGTCGGTCATTTACCGTTGCAGAGATCTCGAAGATCGCGCTCATCTACAAGGTGCACACCGTCGCCGGTGAGGACTGCCGGACATTCTTTCCGAGCGCCGAGATGATCGCGCGCTATAGGCCAAGGGCAGCCACGTTCGAGAAGGCGATGGAGCGTATGTGGGACAACACCGCGCTGATCGAAGAAGACGACGACGAGGAAGAAGAGGGACCTACAAGGAAGAGGACCAAAGTGACCGGACTGAAGGCTGGGCTGTCAAAGGAAGGGTACGATCGCCAGACCTACAAAATGAACCAAGCAAAGATCGCCGCTGGTGACAAAATCGCCGCGGAGAAGTTCGATAAGAAGCGCAAGAGCATCACGCAAACCCACAAAAACACACAGGCGAAGGTCGCTGCCATGGATGGGAAGATACCATTCAACGATGCGCTTGACAAGAGCAAGATGTCGACTACGAAGAAGGCACCGAGCAAGTCCCTAGAGTCAGGGCGCCGGTCGAGAGCCCTCCGCGATCTGAAGATCGCACAAGGGAACCCTAAGGCTATCGAGAGCAAGAGAAAGCAGAGGGAGAATCAGGCCAAGTGGAGGCAGTCCCAGAGAGAAAAGGTCAAGGCCTTTGACTTGAAGCAGGCTGAGAATGAGAAGAAAGCGGAGGACGAGCAGAACTAGAAGAAGAACTGAAAAACATTTTAAGTCGCAGGACTTAGCAGATATATGTATGCGCGCCTCTGATGAGTATGGTAGAAATGAAGTTACCCTGGAGGTGTTCGCAGTGCTACACATTTGTAGGCTCTCAGCATAAAGGTCAATGTATACCTCAACCTAGACTATGTAATATAACCTGTCAAGACATGCTCCATTGTAGACGTCTAAGATAACATGAATTTCTATCTTCTTGTTGTCGCACTGCGGGTAACTCTGTTAGAATAGACCTACACGAAGCGGTTGGCTGTCGCGCAACACAGTGAACAAAGAGGGCTGGCGATCCGAGAAGAGCTCGTAGATGTCAATACTAAAGTATCTCGTTGCAAGTGCAGTTTGTACGCTCTCGATCCGACTTCAGTCTAGTGCTGGGATGTTATCAATCCTACTTGTGCTGCGCGTCAGAAGCACGTACAATCTGTGTTAGGGTGGAGGCCATGCTTCGCGCTTCGCAGCAAAGAAGAGCCAAACAAGAAGAGAGCAGGTACCACATCAACGAATACAGAAAAATAATAACAGAGTATGCAGTAACAAGCCTAGTGTATGCACCTTTCTGTGCAGCGCGAGTAGATGCCCAAAATATTAAAGACAGGCACGAGTGAAGTTTGCCAGAAAAGATAAAATGCCAAAAAGCTTCATGCGTCCTAACGCATTCTTTTCGCACTGCGCGTCGCAGTAAAAAAAGATCTTATAGCTTCCGATACCGGGAATCGAACCCGGCTCTTCTCGGTGCTCTCTGAAGGCGTTGAAAGCGAGATATCCTAGCCGATGGACTATATCGGATGATGTTGATGAAAAGTTGAGAATTTTGAAGATTCAAGTTTCAGGGAAAAAATCGGCAGGGGCGCGGCGTTGAGCGTAACGATGCTTTTAGGCGGGGTAACGCCGATGCGCATGTCAGATCAACCAAGCCCCGGTTGCTCGCCTACCATTAGCACACTTGTGGTAGTCTGCTAGCATTGAAAATGCTTGGTCAACTAACATCAGAAACAGGAACGAAATCGTCAGTCTTCACCAACACACTTGAAATCACAGGCAACTAAGGGACTTGCACGCAAAGACAATAGCAGTAAAGTGTGCAACACATATCATTCAGTCAAAGAAGCAATGAACCAAAGCGATTCAAAGCAAGTAGGTACAAGAAGTGAAGAACACCAAAGTGTTACTTTCCATCATCCATCCTCCATCCTCCAGGATTTTTCCATCACGTTTCTACTGTCATCGCACCACGAACTTAGACGCGGAAAGCGCGGGGGTGGCGGCGAACCTTCTGGCTGGAAGAGCCAGCCTTCTCCTCGAGCCAGGAGATGAAGGTGTCAAGGGTGAACTCCTTGTCGAGGCTGGCGCTGCCGGTCTGGGCAGGGGCGGAAGCAGAGGCAGCGGGAGTAGAGACAGCGGCGACAGCGGCCGAGCTGGTGGCAGCAGGGGCAGCAGAGGCAGAAGAGGCAGGGGCAGACGCGGCGGGAGCAGAGGCAGAAGGCTTGGGCGCGGAAGCGTTGCCAGAGCCGGAGCCGGAGCTGGCACCGTCGAACAGAGCGGGACCGGGCATCTCGTAGCTGGACATGTCACCGCCGTAGACGCTGACCTTGATACCAGGGTCGGTGGCAGTGTAGAGCTTGTTGGCCGGAGTACCCTTGGGGGTAGCGGTACCGGAGCCGGTAACCTCGATGTTGATGCACTTGGGGTAGTTCTGGGCACCGTTCTCCTGGCCAGCGGAGTGGAGAGCAATGATCTCGTGACGGAGGACGTATTGGCCAGGGGCAATGCTGTCGGGGACGGTCACGGTCCAGGTGTTGTTGTTGGCGATGAGCTTGTCAGAAGCCCACTTGCCGTCCTCGAAGCCAGCAGCGTCGATCTTGAAGAACTCAAGGTCGGTAGACTTGGCCTTGGTGGCATCGTCGACCTTGGCGAGGTAGTCGATGACGGGGCCGACGTGGGACTCGGGCCAGGTGGTCCACGAGATGTCGAGCTTGCCACCAGCGGCGACGGTAGCAACCTTTGCGCCAGCAGTGGCGTCCTTGTGGCAGGCAATCTTGGTGGCATCGTCGTACATGGAGGGGTCGACGAAACCGTTGTCGAGGCACTCGGGGCAGGACCACTCAATGACCTCGGGGGAGGGGGTCTGGTACTGGAAAGACGGGTCGTAGGCAGTGAAGTCCTTGCCGTCAACCTTGATGGCAGAAAGGTGACCGTGGGCGCTGACGGAGGCAGCAAAGGCGCCAAGGATGGCAGCGGCTTGAATCTTGGAAGGCATTGTAGTGTTGGGTGTTGGAAAGTCTGGTTTGGACGAAAGGGTTGGTGTTCAAAAAGTTACTTCGAGATCAACGAAGATAGTAAAGAATGTGAGGCGCTTCAAGCGTGAAAAAGTGAACGAAGGTGAAGAGAGCGAATGTCGACTGACTGAATGACTGTGGTGGTGAGGAATTCTACATGCTGGGCGAGGCGTACTCTTATACTCAGATACTGCCATGTCGGAAATGGCGCATCGCTGTGCATGTGTCAAATGAAAGGAGTGGAGCTGACAGAAAGGGAACCGTTTCCGCGTACAATGCTTCAGGGCTGTGGAGCTGGGGTGCTCGATGTTCGCAAGGTGGGCTTGTCACTTGTCATGGCGGTGCTTGTTTCATGGTGTGGCTTCTGATCCTGGCGGTAAACAGAGTATACTGAGCAGTCCTCGGCCAGGTGTTCCTGATCGACGCAAGGAATATGTCAAAGCGAAACGCAAGAGGGGTTGAACATTGAACAGACGCCAGATACAGCTAGCACGTCATTGCACCGGTGTTTGGATGCAGTGGCTGTACATTCTCTGCAGCCGAACCCCCGTACGCACATTATGCTCTTACGACAACTCTTTAGTCTTTAGTTATGATACCAGATGTTGTGTACTTGATGATGGTGCAAAGAGCTTGGGCGCCGAGAATCAACGACTCTTCCCGCCCGCTGCACACTAGAACCATCTCGACTCGCTTAGACTCAGCGCCTCAGAAACGACATCTACGCGTCACCAAATCTCCCACCACCCAGCGGCATAAACGCAACCACGGCAGACCGGCAGACCGCGCTCTACTCCTCACATTCATTAATCTGCAGCAAACCTAGGTATACACCCGTAGGTCCGATCGTAGCCTCAGCGCCTTTATCTCCGTATGGTCGCTTCCGACTTTCATCGTTTCATGCCATGCCCCCCTGAAAGTGGGTCAACGACAGCGCGCGCCTCCACTACGCATGACAGTTCCAGGCGCTTGGTACCAACGTCTTGATTCATTCGAACTACGGTGTGCACTCTGTATTTGCTCTTTCGATCGAGACCAGGTACTGAGACTGGAACACTCCACCGAACCCTCCCACATACCGTTGGCAAATTACACTGCATCGTAACAAACTTCACGACATGTTCCTGCCTCCATTGGTGCCTGAACGTCAGTACCTGTTTCTGCGCCTCAATCAATGCCGCCCGGAGAAACTCCACTGGTGTTTTATGTTGTCCGGGTGGGTCTCTGCTCTCTATGCGTTTCAATGTCGCTTCCATGCCACACGGGCCTTCATTTCGGGCCAAGAAACTTTAGCAGCCGGCAACCGAAAACAAGCAACGGCTAAAGCGACGGTACAGCTGGCCAAGGCTCGCTTCCTACCGGAGACCCGGTGTTCATCTGTCAAGGTGTGAAGGGTGTAACACGCCTATGCACAGCGTTTACTAAACATCATTTTTGCACACATCGAGATCCAAGAATAATACCGCTGGACAGATGAGAATTATCATTGTACTCCCTCCGCACGACAATGCTGCATTGAAAAGGAAACTGGCAGCCCATGCCATGACCCTATTGGAAACGCCGAAAGTCACCCTCTAGTCATACATGTCGTTACAATACACTAGTTCCACCGAACGCCCCATAAACCGTTCACATGCCGTTAAGACGAGTAGCGCCATGTCTCAGCTCCATGGACATTCGTCGTAGGCTGCAAAGGCGGCAGCACTGGCTTCTGATCCCTTGGTACAGCTACAAGACCGCCTTTGCCGTCATCACTAATGGGGCTAGGTGTTGGTCGTTGTGGCTCGCGTGGTGGCGGTCCTGGTGGGGTTTGGATTTGCGAAGCTTGCATGCTCCTAGGAAGGTCGTACGATAGACTGGAGCGGGGCCCCGAGGGAGGGTAGCGAGGCTGAGGCGCCTGTGGCGAGTGCGCAGTCATGGATGGCGTACCCGTGGGGCCTGTCGATGTAGCGAGCTGCTTAAGCATCTGTTCCCACTTTGGCGCCTCGGGAGTCTGCGTCGTCCTTGCCATCTCCCGTTGGAAAGCATCTGAAGACTGGAACTGTGCGGATGGCCTTGGTGCAGGTAGGCCCGTTGGTGGCGGTGGTCCGTAGTATCCTGGAGAAGGCGCGGCTCCGTGTGACGCGATAGGCCTTGGTGCGATGGAAGTAGGTGTACCACTGGGTCTCGGCGTAGGCTGCTTTGGCATCCATTCCGGTGCAATTCCACCATCCAGACTATAGGGTGATATGTAAGTTTTTGTCCTCCGCAAATAACAGTTTCTGAGATAGGGATAATTCATGACGTAGGATAAGTACTCAGTGGGGGATTGGGCAGCATAGATGATTTCAGAGGAGGGTGTGACGGCGTACATTGGAGGTTTAGGAGTCCCAGTAGGGTTGCTCAGCATGTTTGAGATCGACGCGCGACCGTGTGGTGATGCCTGACTTTGATGGCTTGGTGGGCCGTAAGGTGAAGCAGTCATCTGTCCCGCGCCTGGTGAGTATGGTGAGGGTGGCAACTGACGAGGACTCTGAGAGTATGGGTATGGTGGTAGAGCGCTATTGTGTGTCGGTTGCGCATACTTGTCAATCCCATTGAGCAGAGTCGCCGACTGTGTTTTCCAGGACGCATTAGAGTAGCTCTGTGGCGGCACATATGGCTGATACTGCTGTTGCTGCTGCGAAGGGTGCGGTGACCGATGCGTGTGGTAGC